TGTACCTTACAAGTATGACACTTGGGGGATTTTACCTAATCTCTCAAAATGGGAGTTTCCTTGTCTGTGAACCAGGATGAAACATGCCAAGCAAACATGAACTCAGTGGTGGTGATAGTTGTTCCTCTCCCTACTCTTGCTGCCCTTGGTCCTTTACTGAGACCAGTTGAGAACTCATGTATCTCTCTCGTACTGTCCCACCCCGACTGGCAGAGTGATCACCAGGCACTGCTAATCCCTATTCTCTCCCTGCCACGGCTTGTTAAGGAGGTCAGTTGTAGGCTGGACTCTCCTTGATATAGAAAAACAGAAACCATGGAAAACACAGCAAGCCAAGGAGGCACCAAGAAGAAACCGAAAGGTATTTTGCCCAAACCAAAGTTAATTCTTCCATACACAGCCTCACCGGAGGTAAGTTGTTTACCCCACATTCGTTACCCTTTCAAACTGATTCTTTCCTCCCAAAGTTGGCACCAAACCTGAGGCCCTGCAGGCTGGTAGAGAACTGATTGTCCTCTCAGATTCGTCACTCAGCACTCATCTGACGCCTGTCCTGTTTGGGTTCCGTGTGCATTAATCCACAGCCCAGCCTCAGTGACGGTAATTTGTTGTCTGCCCACCTAGCAAACAGTGAATTCCCACTTTCTGCCCCCCACCCCATCCTGTCCTAATCTCTACCTGCCCACAGCAACCTAATATAGACTGAGAATGGGACAAGGGGAAACACAAAATTAAGAAAAAAACAAGTGCTCAGTTAAAGGCAGTCACTGCAGGCTTTGTTTACCAGTTGGCTCCAGTTTTCATGTTTACCACCCACTAAATCAGGCATCCTCAAGGTGTAGATTTTTGTTAGGGAGCAATATGGCAGTAAAAGCCACCCTATTTAATCTTTTCGTGAGTAACGAAAGACTTGGCTGTGCAACTGTGGCCAGCTCCAGTGGTGGAAATAGTTTGTTGACAGGAGTGTTAAAAATCTCTGCCCAAAACTTCTTCCTCACTCACCTCCCACCGCAGAAGTTTCTATCATTAGAATCCCATTATTTTGCCTATAAGAAAATATCCCATCTCATAATATCTCATTATTTAAAAACACCTAGGGCCTTGAAGGAAAATGAAGTACTGCTCTACTTAAATTGGGGCTAGGAGGAAGCTTTAAGAACAAGAATGAGTAGGAGGATGAGGACAGGAATTGAGTCCTGGGGGTAGGAGACTCCTTTTCTGGTTTAGAGTGTGTGTGTGGCGGGGGTGGGAGGTTCTTGAGTCATGGAGATGGGAGAGTGTGGGCGAAGGACAAAAGGAGATGACAATATGACAAATCTGGGGAGAGATTTTGTTTTGTCTAACATCAGGTCTCTGTGCAGGTGAATGGAAGTACAATAACTGTTTCCCGCTAAAACAACAGTGACAATTGTAACAACAAAAAATGATAGCTGGGCCTTGTGGCAGGCACCTGTAGTCCCAGCTACTTGGGAGGCTGAGGCAAGAGAATCACTTAAGTCCAAGAGCTGGAGGTTTCTGTGAGCTGTGACGCCATAGCACT